CCCGCGCGAACACTATTGTCCTTCTCTGAAAGCGTATATTTTACAGATATTCATTGAAAAGAGACCTATAATGTGAAAAAAAATCAATGAAATCTAAAGAAGGTTTCAAAGGAAAATAGTTTAAAATTTATGGTATAGTTGGAGTGGTGCGTTAATTTTGGAGAGTAGAAAATCACGTAATGCTTTGAACGTACTTTTCTATTTTGATAATAGAAATATCGGGATGATTTTTTTTACGAAAATGTTAAGAACGGATATTCTTCTTCTTTAAGTGCCATCTTCGTTCCGAAGGTTGGCGATCATCAGGGCTATACGTATTTTCGAAACTGCTGACCGAAACAATTCATTGTTGCTACAGCTATACCATTCCCGTAGATTCTTTAGCCAGGAGTTTCGTCTTCTTCCTATGGACCTTTTTCCTGCTATTTTCCTTGCATAATTATTCGAAGCAGTTCATATCTTTCGCCTCTTGTAATGTGTCCCAAGTATTGCAGTTTTCGTTTTTTGATCGTAAATAGGACTTCCTTTTCTTTATTCATTCTTCTCAAGACCTCGACATTTGTGACTCTCTCGGTACATGATATTCTCAAGAACGGATATAGAGTTTGTTTCTAATAAATTACACAAGGTATTACAAAATTAGTTTAGAAGAAAAACATCTTCAAACTATGGTACTTTTATGTGATGCGTTAATTTTGGAGAGTAGTAGGAGCTTGCAAAAATATTATTATTAAATATTTATTGCTTATTTGGCTTAAAACTTATTGTACCGATGAATGAATAGCCAATTGTTTGATAAATACGGTTCTGTTAAAGTGCAGAAAAATTTATAGTTATTACAGTTTTGCAAAGATATTCAGATTTACATGTAGATTATCAGTAATTCTATTTTGCTGAAATGAATACGTGCATATTCAGGATAGAACGTGATGTAGGTACCTACGAACTATTGGTACTTACTTATATTTTTAATGTGTCTGCGTTCTTGATGTTCTATTTTCCGTTGCACAATTTGTCGCTAGCTCTTCATTTAAGATTGTATAAGATCAGTGGTGTGTCGTAGTATGTAGACATTTGATAAAATCGAAAACTTTTATATCTTTAAAGGGTTAAAAATATCAAAAATACTAGAGCTTCCAAAAAATCAACAATTCTTAAAATAATTTTATGAAAAGGCAAGTGAAACTAATGAAAATTTTTAACGGTTATTATAAAAATCTGAGCTTGGATTTAAATATAAATCTGGATGCACCGATAAACGTTACAAGCACTTCGGACTATCCACACTATCAACTTCTTCTTCTTCTGGTTCCTATCCGTTTCGGATGTTGGAAATCATATTGGCAATCATAACCTTGCTCGCTGCGGCTCGAAACAGCTCCGTTGAGGTTTTCTTAAACCATGTTCTTAAATTCCGCAGCCATGATATTCTCCTTCTACCGGATCCTCGCTTACCTTTGACTTTACCTTGCAATATAGACTGCAGCAGGGAGTAACGGTGCTGATTTCTCATAACGTGTCCCAAATATTGCAATTTTATGCGTTTGATCGTAAACACAATCTCTGGTTCCTTCTTCATTTTTCCTAGAACTTCCTTGCTCGTGATCCTTGCTGTCCATGATATTCTCAGCATTCTTCTATAAAGCCACATCTCAAATGCTTCAAGTTTTTTAATAGTGGTGTCTGTAAGCGTCCATGCCTCCGCCCCGTACAACAACACAGAGAAAACATAGCATCTCAAAAACAATAAGTAAATAGTCTCATAAGGCCGTTAAATCGCTAGTACAACAAAAAAATTGGCAGCAGGCACAAGTATTCTATATAAAACAATACGAAATTTCAACCACGAATCCCCACGCCTACGTCACACTCAACACAACGCATTTCTTACATTAGAGCATAGGACAAAATCAATCCTATCTGTGTTTAGTGTCCTTGACCTGCACCTGCAAAAATGAACTGAGTCTGCAGTCGGAATCGGAGTCATTGCACCTGATCCCTTGATGGAAGTGACTTTGTCATCTCTAATTTCAATGCGTGTCCTTATTTCTCTACCTTGGTCATTGTTTTCATTTAACCAGGTTCCGAGATATTTGTAGGTATTCACTCTTTCTACTTATTTTCCCTCGATATCTAACCTTTTTGTTTTTAAAATCATGAATGTGTTGCTTGTGTGAGTCCATATCAAATAGGTAAAGAAATAATAATAAGACTTACTCACAATCAATTTAATTTAACAATCAGACGACCGGTTTCGCTTTCTACAATTTGCAAAGCATCTTCAGGTCTAGATACAAAGTTAAACTAATGCTGCAATAAAATAAACCCAATTAGGGTGGTGTCTAATAAAGATAAAATAAACAAATAAGTTAGTTCATACAAATTATAGTAATTATGCCAATATTACATGTCTGTGGTTTTCAAAATGAATAAATTTGAATATATAAAAGGTATTAACAGACAAGGTAAGACCCACAATTGGTATAAAGTAGTAATATTATATTGTAATAAATTAATAAATGAGCAGATAAATAAAACAAAACAAACATTACTTACATGCCGGTACTCTATTAATTGATGGATGGTAGGTCATGGTTGCAAAAATCATGTATTGTTGATTGGAGAACTTTAATGTGCTATTGCAGTTGTTTTGACAATAAACGGGAAGTTCTTGAGGAGAACAGATTTGATCCAATGAATTAGAGATAGGTATATTGTGGTTGTTTGTCAAATGAAAGTGATGTTCTTTACTATTGTATTATTTAAATTATTTACACTTATATCAGAGATATATTTTTGGAATGTGTGTTATTTATTGAGTATTTATGTTATGAAGGAGACAGTTTTATGACAATGAATAAGAGTAGCTGTACCGATTGTGTGGTTGTGCAATTATTTTGACTTGTAATTATCAAGTCTATTGGCAAAATTAATCAATTATTGTAAAGTCAAGTATATAAAAAGTATATAAAATTATTACAAATTAAGACAATCAGGGACAAATTAAACACACATTAACAGGAACAGAAACACTAAATGACGGGACAAACATTGAATTTAAAACTTAAACTTGGGGAATGGAAGAAACTGCAAGCACTACATCTCAGTGTTGGAAGTAATGAGTTTTTTTATATTTAATCTATTAGATTTAAGAGGCAAATTTGACATATGTAGGTTGAAGTGTGACAGTTCTTCTTCTATTACTAAATACTGTAAATTTAGTTATTCAGTATTATGGAGTATGTTGATATTAATGAATGTCTCAAAATTTGTTTTAATTTAGAAATCAAAAGTAAATTGATGTGTTTAATATTGGCATACTTTAACAATTTTAATTAATAAGTTTCAAATTCAAAAAATTTTTTATGTAACAATGTGAATAATTGAAATACATCATCTATTATAACTAACCAATTTTAGTCTGAATTTTTCAGAACAAATTAAAATGATTATTTAGTAAATGCAAACAAGTGTACTTGTAATTGAAAGGTATAACAAATTTACAAATTGCCTGAAAATTTTTTTTATTTGAAATAATTGTCGGTCTGAGCTATCTGTTATGGTGTATAAACATTTCTTAAAATATTTAATTTAAATTATAATAATTAATAATTAAATAAAGTAGTAATTGGGTGAATATTGATGATTATTCAAATTTTGAGTTCGAGTAATTGACTGACTTAAGTCTTGAATAATTAGTTGGCAATGCTAATTTATGACAATTGGAACCGGAAATTGGTTCCATCCCTGGGCAGCCGGTACCCATTTAAACCGGTGTAAAGTATACTTTTATTTCAATTCTTTGTATCATATGAACAGACATTCCTCAAACCGACAAGAACACTGGTGAGTTTTTACAGTAGTTTTAGTAAAAATTTTTAAAATTTTTAAAAAATTAATATCTGTTTATGAAAGTTAATATTTCTATTTAAATTATAAATCTGTACAGGATTATGAATAGTATAGATATATGTAATCCAAACTGCTAGTCTGAACAATTTTCAAGTCATGTTGGAAATCCATAAACCACGTGTTGAGTTTGAAATGAAATATGTTGTAAATTAAGTATTTGTCGAAACCAGATGGAATGCAATAATAATTATTATGGGTTAAATAAGTTGAGGTACCATACCAGTTCATTACTGATGTTTAATTTAGTTTTAGGAAAGTTTATTTTACCTTTATTAGACACCACCCTAATTGGGTTTATTTTATTGCAGCATTAGTTTAACTTTGTATCTAGACCTGAAGATGCTTTGCAAATTGTAGAAAGCGAAACCGGTCGTCTGATTGTTAAATTAAATTGATTGTGAGTAAGTCTTATTATTATTTCTTTACCTACTTTTTGTTTTTGTTTGTTTAAAAAAAATTTAACCAACTTTTTGCATGGGCGACCTCTTGTACCTTGGGTCCAAAATTTGGCGGAAATTTTGGGGTATCTCATAAAAGTGATTATGAAAAAAAAATCTCATGGGAATATTTTCCGAACGAACCTGAACTTTTCACCTTGTTTATTACGCATCGAGTTTAGTGTTAGATATTCTTTTAATTTTGCCCTTCCCGGGAGTATTTTATGTTAATAAAAGGTACAAAATTAAGCAAATAATATAAAGAAAACATAAAAGACAAGGCTGATGATAAACACGTAATGTTTTTATATAAGATCCAAGGTTTTCCTATTTAATAAAAACTTTTTTCTTTACCCACATATCTACAAAAAATTTTCGAGACAAATATTGTGGTCATTATAACTAATGATCTTATTTAACGAGAATCTTGTCACCTAAAATAATCAATCAAGCTCAAGATATTGCTGTATATTTTCTGTATTTCAATTTAGTGACAATAAATTCCTCATATGTATTAAAATGTATTTTATTTCTTTGTTAATATAATTAGGATTATATACAAAACTATCTCAATATTTGATCTTTTTTTTGTGTCGCTATAAAAGCGATCGAACCAACTTTTAAAGTTATTTTTCTTAAAGATTTGACAATATGTTTAGGTGTTTCATAATAATATTGATATTGAACAAAGTACATACATACATGAAACCACCAGATCAAAATCTAGAAGAAATATCAGCAAATCAATGTTTATATAAACTTGCAACAATGTATTATCATAACAATAGATCAATTACCATAGCATATCATCCAAACTTTGGAACAGTTGATAGCGTTCGAAGTTTCATACCACTGCTTCAATCCCAATCAAATTGGATGCTGAAGATTAGATCATCTAATAAGTACTATCAAAAGCTGTATGTACATCTAATACAAAGAACAAGTACTTTCCAATTCATACACTTTCTAGACTCAGAGCGAATACCATCTTCTCTAATATCTCCATCTAACCACTGGCTATTAGATATCAAGGCTTGGCAACCTCACCAAGCTACATTTTTGATTGTAAGTTTTGAAATTGTGCCCAATTCGACTAGGATAAGGGAGATATTTAAGGAACTCAGGAAAAGAAATATGTTTCGCGTGCTACTACTTATCAGAACTGTCGAGGGAGCAACGTTTAACATGTATATCTTTAAAGCTGTTACACAAAATTGCCAAATAACTTCTGGAAGATTGATGAAAATTGACAGCTGCGCATTTGGAAAACTGAACAAAGGTACTGTTCTATCCTTGAAAAACACCGATTTTAAAAATTGTACAATTCGTGCAGGATATTTTGAAGCCCCGCCATATGTTAAGCTGAAAAGGGCATCTCAAATAGGCAATTCAAATGAGAGCACTTTATCAAAACCAATATTAGAAGGTTTGGAAGTTCAATTACTAAATGTAGTTACTGCACATCTAGGGTATAAGGTAATTTACACCGAGTCAAAGATCATGGGGGACGTATGGAAAAATCTTTCTACATTTGGTAATTTTCAGAGGCTTGAATCGGCTGAAGTTGATATAATTTTAGGTAAAATAGTAAACATTATACTTTATATATTTGCCATTTTTTTTTCTTCTTCTTTTGATGCACTCCCATTACTAAGCTTTGCGATTACCATCATTCTTGTTTTACAATCCTGCGTGGGTCCTAGCCTTCTCAAGAATTTCTCTCCAGTCGTTCCTATCCATCGCCTTCCCCCGCCAAGCACATATTCCCATATTTCTCATGTCTTCATAGATGTTATCAAGGAACTTTGTTCTGGATCTTCCTCTTGTTCTCTGACCAATGGGTCTATCAAAAAGCGTTTTTCGTAAATGTTAAAAGCGTAATGTTATGTTTTATGTTTATATCGTCAAAGTTAAGTACATTGGTTTTTGGTTTTTGTCGCTGAATTCGTTTTAACCTTAGTTTAATATCTGCTACAAGTGGTTGATGATCAGATCCAATATCTGCCCCAGGAAATGTAGTGACTTTTTTGACGGCATTTCGGAAACGCTCATTTACAAGTATATAGTCTATTTGATTTCTTGAGGACTCAGGGTTATTGCCATCATCAAATGGGGCTTTCCAAGTGTATAGTCGTCGCTTGGGTAGTTTATACCAGGTGTTTGCAATGATCATATCGTTTTCTTTACAAATTCATACAATCTCTGTCCTCGATCGTTAGGTTGTCCTAGACCATAAGGACCTACAGTCTGACCTCGTCGACCTTCCCCAATTTTTGCATTGAAGTCGCCTATAATATATAAAATTTCGTGTTTATTAAGTTTCTGTAAGATGTCTTGGATCTGATCATACAACTTCTCGACTTCATCGTCATATTTTCTATCTGCAGTCGGGGCATAGATTTGAAGTATGTTAGTTTTAAATGGTTGAGTATTTATTTGGAGTAATATTATTCTATCCGAGACTGGTACGAAATTGGTCACATATTTACTCAGTTCTGATGTTACTAATATACCTACACCATTTTTGTGATGCGGGTCTTCTGTGCTGTTACCGGAATAATATAATACACTTCCGTCCTTTTTACATGATCCTGACTCTGGCCATCTCATTTCGCTGATTCCCAGTAGGTCTATTTTATTCTTTTCATTTCTTGAATTGCGTTGTCAAGTTTCCCAGCCACAAATAGACTTCTAACATTCCCTGTGCACATTCTAAAATTAGATTTCTTAATTTTTACGATTTCTAGGATTTTTTCACGAGGTTTTCGCATATTTACGACCTGAGAGGCCTGGTGGTATAAATATGTTTCTCCTCTCAAAAATCCTCCACCTTCTCCAGCCTGCCGAATCTTGGCCGTCGTTTTCCATGATTAGTAACGGCTTGCAATTGCCAGTTGCAGCTCTATGAGCCGTTAATACAGTGGTTTGGTAATCTACTTTGCCTTCTGCATTCTTATGCCGTTGATCATTATTTGTTGATTCATCCGCCTTCGAGGCCGATTTCTCAACCCAGGACAAAAGAATGCCCTACCACTCACCAACTCATCCGCCCTAAGCCGTTGGTCAGTAAGTGGAGGATTGCTTATACCGGCAATCACTCGGACGTCAGAGCCTCATTTGTTATCTAGCAGGATGCCCTAGATGATCATAACCAAGATCATCACGTGGGCAGGTGAGGTTGACATTTGTACAGGAGAGGCTATAGAGGTTGTGCATCACTATCCCTTGCATCCCGACCAATATATATTCTATACAAATATACAAATTCGTTCACTGCTTTTATGACGTCGTTTTCTATAACAAGTGGTCGTAGGATTTGTGGTCGCGTGCTTATTTTCATATTCTTCTTTTTGTTTGTGTTTATTTCATTGGTTCATCAACATCATCACCATGCAACCTCTTCTGTCCACTGCTGGACATAGGTCTCTCCCATTTTCGCCACTTCTTACAGTTCTGTGCTTCTTGTTGCCATTTCTTGGATATTCGTTTAATGTCGTCCATCCAGCGTGTTGGTGGTCGTCCTCTGCTGCGTTTGTCTTCTCGTGGGCGTCAGTCAATTAGTTTTCTGGTTTGGTTAGCCATCATTAAATCAAAATGATCTCTTCTGCGACACTCTTAGTAATTGTTGAACGTGTATGCCCGTCTAAGCTCTGATATTGCGAAGCCATGACATGACTCTACTGCCTACTCTTCTACGGCCCTCTATATTGTCCCCTCAATTATTATTCGTAGGAGTTTATATTTGTAATTTCTCATTATGTGGCCTAGGTAGGAGGTTTTTCTTTTATTGGTATTTAATACTGTACGATTCATAATGTATGTCCATGATATTCTGAGCATTTTGCGGTACAGCCACATTTCAAAGGCTCTATCCATCTCAAGGTAATAATTGGCTCAATCCTAATATTTTAATAGTATTCCTGCTCATTTCTTGAATTACGTTATGTACTTTTCCTGCTCTTAGCGGTCTTTGAATATTCCATGTTCCAATTTTTATCGATTTTTTCATTATAGCAAGTTCGGAGATTCTGCGCATCCCTGCTTTATTTAAGAAGCGTCGGTACACAGGCCATTGTTGATTTTACTTGCCATAATGAGTGATTTACTTAAGATATTTATAAAGGATCTTTAATGCGGTAGTTTCTTCTTGCTTCCTACATCCTGATGCCGTTGAAGTTAATTAATTTCTCCACTCAAAAACAACAGAGTGCTCCTACTTCAGACTTCCTCCCTTAATTTAAAGGGGACCATTTATACCGATGGTCGTTCGGTGGACCATATCTGGCGACATTTACCTAGTTTGCATGCAGACCAATAGAATGCAGTTATTTGAGGTGCAAAAACCATCTCCCGTCTATGACGCCAGATGTGGTCGTTTTGATAAAAGGTACTATTTCTATAACACAACCATACATCCCATCCTCCTATTTGTTTTTTAATCATTTGTAATTCAGCACAAGTATCAAATCCTTACATCTTATTTCGACCTCCACCTTTTAAAACTCCTATCTAAATAGCCGCAAACATCCATGTTTCCTATTCCATCTTCCATGCCTCTTTATCATAGATAGCTTGCATCCATTTTGCACCAGCGTGTTTTTCAGATCATTTATCTATCTCTCATACACAATCTGTGATAGTAAACTCTGTAATCGTACTTGGAATCAACTTCAGTTGTTGCTAGATGTACACGAAATATACTCTAGAAACTTTTTAGCAGTTATGAAACCTAGTTCTTGGTATTTGAGTGGAAATCAGACTAGATGTTTTTGACTTCTTTTTCTTGTAGTTACTATTCGTTTCGGATGTTGACGACCATTATGGTAATCTGTAATTTGCAAACTGTTACATAAATATCACCATTTTAATATCTCTGCATCGTTGAAATAGCACTTGTATGCTAAAGAGAACCTCTTTCGTATCCACTGCATTCCGAAAACCAAACTGTGTACGGCTGATTTTTTCTTCGCCTAGTCTATATATGAAAGTGAAATGAGGTGGCCTGACTCAAGTTATTGTGATATAGAAGACTACAGAGTATACTATTCAGGATCAGAAAATGGTAAATATGAGAATGGGGTTGGAATTATCACGCATAAAAGTATAGCCAAACAAGTCAACAACTTCATACCAGTGAACGATAGAATCCTCCTGTTACAAATAAATACGTCACCGGTGAACACAAACATCATACAAGTCTATGCACCCACAGCAGACCATAGTGATGAAGAAATATCAGAATTCTACAAACAAATAAGCAACCTTATAAGAGATATACCGAGACACGAACTCCTTATAATCATGGGAGATTTCAATGCAAAAATAGGTAACGGAAAAGAAGGGCAACATATTGGTCCACATGGATTAGGAGAGAGAAATCAACGCGGAGAAACAATGAGTATCTTTGCAGCTGAGCATGACTTAATCGTGCTAAACACATTTTACAAACTACCGCCTAGACGCCTGTATACGTGGAAATCACCTAGAGACAACGGAGAAGACGTTATTATTAGAAATCAAATAGACTATATGCTTGTTAACAAAAGATATCGAAATAGTTTCAACAGTGTTAAAACCTACCCAGGCGCTGATATTCAATCTGACCACAATCCTTTAGTGGGCGTGTATAGAACTAAGTTAAAGAAAATACGCGGAAAAACTGTAAAAAAACATGACATGAGAAAACTGAAATGTAGCGAAGTAAAAGAAATAGTCAGCAAAACATTAAATAGAAAATTTAAAGAAATCGATAATACAACGGAAAGCACAGAAGATAAGATAGAATCCCTTAAGAAAACAATAGACGACATTAAAGACAATTTTATGAAGAACGAAGAAGGTAAGAATAAGACATGGATGACGACAGAGATTCTGCAACTAATGGAAGAAAGAAGGAAAAACAAGAACGATAACTCCATGTATAAAACATTACAGCGAGAGATACAGAGAAAGATCAGAGAAGCCAAACAGAAAGAACTGGAGAAAAAATGCCAAGAAATCGAAATTCTCCAAAGTAAATACGACGACTTCAACGTGCATAAGAAGGTAAGAGAAATTACAGGTAAATGTAAAAACAGAAGAATAAGTAAACTTGTTAATGACAATGGAGAGATAATCGTGGACAAAGAGAGTATCAATGATACCTGGAAAAATTACATAAGAAATTTATTTTTTGATGAGAGAGAGAACCAGCCCCCAATACCTACGGAAACAGGACCACCTATACTAGTGGCAGAAATAAGAGCAGCCATAATATCACTAAAAGAAGGTAGAGCTCCAGGACCAGACGGAGTACAATCTGAATTTCTTAAACTTCTTGATGATGAATCTTTAAGAGTACTATGTAAAATCTTCAATAATATCTATGACACAGGCAATATCCCAAAAGATTGGCTACTTTCAGAATTTATTACCTTACCAAAGAAACAGGGAGCAAAAAAGTGCGGAGAATATAGGCTAATAAGTCTAATGAGCCATACATTAAAACTTTTTCTTAAAATTATACATCGTAGAATATACAAGCTATGCGAAGAGAGAATACAAGACACACAGTTTGGATTCATGAAAGGCGTAGGTACAAGAGATGCACTGTTTAGTCTACAAGTATTATTTCAAAGATGCAGAGATATGACTTGCGATATTTACACCTGCTTTGTGGACTACCAAAAAGCATTTGATACAGTTCAACACCAAAAAATGATGGATATTCTAACAAAAGCCCAAATGGATGATAAAGATCGGCGTATAATACAAAATTTATACTGGAACCAATCAGCCACAATAAGAACGAATTTTGGAGGTGAACCAACGGAAATGATCCAGATTCTACGAGGCGTTAGACAAGGTTGTATACTTTCACCTATATTATTTAATCTATATTCAGAGGAAATATTTAGTGAAGCCTTGGAAAAATGCGAACATGGAATACTTCTAAATGGAGAACGCCTAAACAACATCCGTTATGCAGACGACACCGTTATTTTTGCAGACAGTTTGAACAGTTTACAGCAACTAATAAACAAAGTAAATGAAGTAAGTGAAAGATTTGGACTTCAAGTAAATATAACAAAAACTAAATTTATGATCATCAGCAAAAATAAAGTTAGAGACGCTCAACTACTTATCAATAATACACCAGTGGACCGAGTAAAACAGTATAACTATCTTGGAACAACAGTAAATGAACAATGGGATCACTCACAGGAAATAAAATGTAGAATAGAGAAGGCTAGGAGTGCATTCAATAACATGGCCAAACTCTTTAAAAGCCACAATCTTAATCTGGAGATAAAAGTAAGGCTCCTACGATGTTATATCTTCTCAATATTGTATTACGGAGTTGAATCCTGGACACTAACTGAAGCAATGGAGAAAAAACTTGAAGCCTTCGAGATGTGGCTATACAGGCGAATTCTAAGGATATCATGGACAGACAAGATAACCAACGAGACCGTATTACGAAGAGTGGGCAAAGAAAGAGAGGTGATGTATACCATTAAAAGGAGAAAGTTGGAATATCTCGGACATATAATGAGAAACAGCACTAAATACAGATTACTGAAGGTAATCCTACAGGGTAAAGTATTCGGAAAGCGAGGAATTGGGAGAAGGAGAATATCATGGTTGAAGAACCTGAGGAAATGGTTCTCCACAACAACAACGAATCTATTTAAAGCATCAGTTAATAAAATAATTATAGCCAGAATGATTGCCAATATTCGGAACGAATAGGCACTGAAAGAAGAAGAAGTCTATATATCCTTTGATGTACAATTTTTAGAAATATCCTAATTAAGCTGATGGTCCAGAAATCATTGCAAGATACGGATTTTGCTTTCTTTCTTCTTTTTCTTCATATGCCATCTCCTCTAAGAAAGTTGGCAACCATCATGGCAATTCGCAATTTCGATACCGCTGCTCTAAAGAGGTCAGCAGAAATGCAGTTAAACCAAGCTCTCAAGTTATTCAACCAGGAGATGGGTCTTCTTCCGCGACTCCTTCGACCTTGTTTTCTTTGGTAAAGCAATAAACGTTGACTTCAGCCATGATATCTTAGTATCGTCGCTGTTAAATAGCTTTATGAGTATAGCATATGCATTGTCAGGTTCAGAAGCTTTGCCATCTTTTACAGAGATGTAGGACGGAGGTTGTTTTGACCTATTATCATCAAAGAGTACTTGTATATATTTGGTCTGTATGCATATTTCTCGATTTTTATCTGTCATGATGTTCTCTGTTGATCTTTTGCTAGTTTGATAGTTGTGTTGGATTTTTAAAGACCAGCTGCTTGTTTTACCTTTTTAATTATATTAAATGTATCGTGTTTTTGTCTAACAAGTCTATCTCTTCACACTGTGTTTTTAACCAATTTTTTGGCCTTTCGTATTTCGCTTCTTATTTGTCTCTGAATAATTTTGTACATTCTTTTGTTATTCTTTGATTTTCTTCTTTCTTCCATGAGTTGCAGTATATTGTCCAACTTATTCTTTCAACTATTAGATGTCCTTCTCTGATCTTGTTAACCCAGATATTACTGAAACTTTTATTGTTAACATTTTGAATTAATTTCGAATTTTCATGGAAATTATAGCATATGGAACCAAAAAACACAATCATATATTTTTTTATGACGATACCTGTCAAGTTTTGACATGTTCTTTTAAAAGGACGGTAGTAATATACGGTACCAGATATCATATATATTTTATTAGTACCAATTTACAAAGAATGAAAGGATTTAAAACAAAATTTTGGATGTAAAGGTATTTTGCACTTTTCACACAAAAACTGGACTTTTTTGTGACAATATCCACATCGCGATTGCTTTTCTTGATAAAGAACCAAGTGGTTAATACCGTCATATCTTGAATTGGCTACCGAATTCGAATTCCGCTTAGAAGGTCCGCGTTTTGTTTCTTTTTTAAAAGTTTCCAAAATATTAGTTGCAATAGATCTTCTAAATTCAAGTTGATCCAGTTTACCGTCTTGAGTTTTGTGAATCTGCCACGCATTTTGAATAGCCATATCAACGCAATGAGCAAAAAGGGGAAAATACCATTTCTTTCCTCTTATGGACACTCGATATAAACTGATGTTCTGGTCACTGCGATCAACGCCACCCATGAAGTTATTGTATATTCTAACAATATTTGGTTGAGGAACTTGAATATGTTTTTTCTCTGCTTGTGAAAATCTCTTTACAGAGAAGCAAGGCATTACTGGTACAAAATTGGAAGCAATAGAAACGATATTATTATCATGCCAGCGGCAAACCACTATTCCTGTATTTTTATCAAGACGATACTCGTATTTACCACGTTCAGTTTTTTTCATAATAGATGAACAGGGTAAAGGGCATTTCATGGTGCGATTTTCCCTTACAGTGCCTGTACCAAATATGCCTCTTTGTTTTAGCTCATGCAGTAAATGAATAGAAGTAAAATAATTATCAAAAATAAGATGGAATCGCCTTTGAGGCCATACTTCATTCAATCTGTCTGCATAGGATAGAACTACTGATGCACCCAATCCAAGGACTTTATATTGTTCAGGTATTGTAGTGGAATTACCTTGGTAAGGAGAAAACCAAACTATGTATCCCAGACGAAGGGCTCCTACCCACATTTTGTACCCCCAACGGATTGGTTTTCCCCTGATGAATTGTTTTGTGGGATGGCGACCAAAATACGGAACCATTGCCTCATCTATGCTGTGATGTTGTTCTAAAGGGGAAAATTGTATAAATTTTTTGTTTATTACGTCGAACAGGGGTCGCATCTTGGCAAATCTATCAAATTTATCTAATGACAAGTTATTGCAAACATGCAAAACTTTCATTATGTGGGAAAATCTATCCCTAGATATAGCAGCTACCACCATTGCGTTGTGCGAATCGTCACGATTTTCCCAGTACATGTACCTTTTCGGCACAACCACATAACCACTCAATACAAGAACGCCTATAAAACATCGAATCTCATTTTGAGTAATGTCGTTCAAAAGATTTCTTTGTCCTGCGTAGATGTTAGTGTATTCGGTAACCAAATTGATGACTTCATCATCAAAAAACAAATTGAAAATTTCCATCGGCGACTGAGTCATTTTCGGTCCAAATTGAGTTTTCCAGTAAGTACAATCAGGGTGTTGATACAAGTCTCCTTGAATCCAGTGTGCAGATATTCTCTTCTCTAATTGATGGGGCAGCTTTTCCTTGGAAAGAAACAAAGCCAATGGTATATTGTCATCATCCGAATCTTCTTCTGGTAGGCTGGAATTCACAGAATCTTGTGGTAATTCAGTCGCGTTGTCAAAAACAAGTTCTACATCGTTTCTCATCTGACTACCCGGTAAATTATTTATTGTAGTTAGTTCTTCATCGCCGGAGTCGCAATCGGTGACATCATCATTGGCATTTTCTGGGGGAAATATGATCAAACCATCTGGAGGGACTGGGATTTCATCAGAATCAAGCTCTTCTAATAGCTCATGCAATTTGAGAGGCCTCCTGAAACAATACGCACGTTGGTAGTACTAATTACTACCGTCCTTTTAAAAGAACAAAATGAAATCCCAAGCGGCGAGCCTTTGAAACAACGTGACAACTATTCGAGCCAAGAATATACGTACATAAGTCCCTATTATACAATAATCCACATGCCAATGCCGTGAAATAACAGTTTTTTAATTCTAGACTTACCTCCAATTATAAGCATCCATTTTGTAGTCCAAAACCTGGCAATTTACACAGATAACCTCACAATTACAGCATGTGCGCGCACTAAAATCGTTAAAACTTGTCGAATGCTGGCTCTTGAAAACACTCCATCTAGAGCCATCTATCAGTTGGTAGCTGTACTAACCTAAATTACGCATAATTTACACTGCCTTTTAAAAGGACGGTAGTAATGTCTGGGTTAAAGATTTCACATATATTCTGGAGTAATCATTCTGGATCAAATGTTTGGTCCATGTTGGTTAGCTTTTCTGAAAAAATCAGCGCGACTGTTTTCTTTGTTTCTTATCTTTTAGTCTTCTTATATCACATTTTTTGTTACTATTCTTTCTTGTAATCTTGTATGTTCTTGACAATTTAGTGTAAACCAAGACGTATACCAAGACGTTTCCAACAATATTTCTAGCTTTTGATGAGCAGTTTATTTCCTATTCATATATCTGTGGTTGATACCAATTGTTATTATTTTTGTTTTCAGGTAGCTACACCAAAACATATAGCAGATATTTAGCATTCGATACGACTTCCTTCTACATCCAAGACTCCTTAAGCTTTTGTGTACCAAATATCGTGGAGAAAACCAATAATTATGAACACTTTTTTTATTTTACTCAGTGCTTGGTCGTTATATTTTGGGTAACTGTCATAATTAGTATAGTATTTTGGATAAGTTCTATGCTGTTACCAAACAACAAACATTTTAGAGACTATTTGTTGGTAGCGTTGACCTTTGTAAGGATTATGACCAATGTAGCACATAATCGGAAGATATATCATTTAAGTAGCAGACTGTGTATGGCAATCGCATTGATTTTCGCTTTTTATATGAACAATGTGTACTCATCACAAACGACTAGCAACCTAGTAAAGAGTAAATACGAGCGAAAGTATGGCAGTATTGATAAAATTTTTGAACAAAATCTTACTACGACTTATGGACCCAACTGCATTAACTATTTCCAAGGGGATGATACACTTAAGTTTAGAAATAGATGGAATGACTGTTATCACTACTACAGCTGTTTACATAATGTGGCGTTTAACAGAAACACTTCGTACTCTACAGCTATCTTAATCATGAAGTACATAACCAAAAACTTTGTCAATCATAACAATGAACCGTTAGTTTACTGTTTTGATATCTCTCTAATGAAATTCACTCCAACAATGTACACTAATAGGGGTGCATTCTTTATAAAAAAATTCAATAATATTATTTCCAAATTAAGAGAAAACGGAATTGTTTTAAAGTGGATAAATGATATGCTTTCTAAGAACAAAGATGACCAAGAAGTGTATGCCATAAATTTGTACTCTGATGAGGATGATATGATTAGAATGAAACACTTGGTACCTTTATTTAAAGCAATATTATACGCTTACTCATTTTCTACACTCGTATTTTTATGCGAAATAGGTTTCGGATATTTAAGCAATACTAGTATGTTCAAAAATAAAAAAAAATCATTTAAATCACGCTAAAAATAAATTTTTCCACACTCAGTAGTCATTATCATCATCAATATCATCATTATGAGCCGTTTTAAGTTCACTGCTAAACATCTCTCTCTTCAATCCTGACCCCCCAGGGGGAGTGTAGTGGTCGACGTGATGTCGTGTATTGTCCGTCTCCAGAGATCTCTGTCTCTGGTCATTTCTTTTAATTCATGCATAGGTCTTTGGCATATTCCTGTAATTTGATCTATCCATCTTGTTGGGGATCTTCCTCGTGATCTTCGGCCTTCTACCTTTCCTTGTATTATGAGTCTTTCCATGTTTTCTGTGTTTGCTCTCATAACATGCCCAAAATATTTTAATTGTTGGAGATGGACTTTACTAGAGAGTCGTTGGCTAACTTTTAGCTCTCTTAAAATTGAATTATTTGTTCTGCGGTCGGTCCAAGGAATTCGTAACATTCGTCTCCAACAGAACATTTCAGTGGCGTCTATCTTTCTTCTCTCCGATTGTCTCAGAGTCCAAGATTCACATCCGTAGGTCAGTATTGGGAATATTAAGCAGTTGATCAACCTCATCTTTATCGCTCTTGAAATTTGACAGTCCTTCCATATTTTGGTCATTTTTGCTGTGGCAACTTTTGCTAGATCACATCTACGTTTAATCTCTTCTTGTAATGACCCTGTGTTTGTGATTAATGATCCCAGATATAAGTATGAGCTCACAACCTCGAACCGGTCAATTGTGGTTATGTGTGGATGATTGTTGTGTAGTCTATCCACTATCATGATCTTTGTCTTTGATATGTTTAATTGCAGACCAAATATTTGACTTTCGTTTTCGATCAGTCGTATAAGTTCTATCAGCTCTGCTTGACTATTTGCAAGAAGGGCTGTGTCATCTGCGAAACGTAGGTTGTTTAGTTTATGACCATTTATTGAGATGCCCTTTTCCCATCCTTCAAGTGCTCTTCGCATAATATACTCCCCATATATGTTGAATAATTGTGGAGATAGTATACATCCTTGTCTGACACCCCGTTCTGGATGAAATTCGTTCGAAAGTGTCAAGTACTTTAACTGATTCAGTAGTGTGTTCATATAGTTCGGTTATAAGCGTAATTAGATTTTGTGGTACGCCTACTTCTTTTAGTATTCGCCATAAGTGTCTCCACTTGACCCAGATGTATAGTGGAATGTTGAATTCCCTAGATTTCTCGATTATCTGTCTTATATTCAGCAGGTGTTCTCGAGTACCTCTACCTTTAGTAAATCCAGTTTGCTCTTGTGGAATTTCTCTTTGAAGGAATGTTTTCAGTCTCTCATTGATTATATGTAGCATTATCTTGCTGGCATGGGATATATACTGTACTATATGCTAAACATACGCCTCCCTTAAATAATTCCATTACATCTTGAACACTCTGAATCTAGTTGTGCTGGATGCGCTTGATGTCGTCTGACAACTGCATCTCTGACTCTGGCAACATTCTGCCCAGTTCAATTTCAGCGTTGTAATTATTTTAGCTGTATCCGTAACACCAGCTTTTATCCTAACTATTTGATTTAGTAAATTTAGAAGAAACAGCATAATGATACCAATGTTCAAGAAAAGAAGACCCACAGAATTATATATATAAATCTATTGAACACCACACTTAAACTTACCACAAAAGTCCTAACCAACAAAATCAATAGACTAACAACTTTATCAGATGAATAGCAATGATTCAGATGTACTAAGACAAATCACAGAAAAAGCCATCGAGTAGAATAAACCAGCATATCTATGTTGTATAGACCTGACAAAGGCTTTCGATCGCATCCAAGTCGAAGACGTCTTTCACCTACTGTATAAAAGAAACATACCAATCTATACAAACCATCGAAAACATCTTCTTCCGTAATCTAATTGTTGTGTTTTGCACATACAATGACCTCAATATAACAATTAAGGTCATCCTGAAGGGGGAGAGATATTCTGTTCAATCTAGAACTCGCTGGTTTCCCCCTTTCGAAATGGGTATGTATATTCAAATAAAAGAAGAGAAATGAAAGGCAGCGGACTGTATAAAACTCTATTTTAAAAAGGTGTAAAATTAAACATAAATATACATAACCAAATATACCATTATAATTAAAGAAGAATATACAAACTTAACTATTAGCTACTATGAAACACACCAACAGACACACCGAAAGACAACCATAAACCAACCAAAACAAAAAGATGTCGATTCTATTAAAAACCACTGACAAAACAAAAGACAAAACCTACCATAGCCGCAAACATACTATACATAAAAGATAAAAAACAAATTAATAATATTACAAAAAAATACATAAAAATATGGATATATATGTCAATGGTATAAAAACAAGTAATAATGCGGTAGCATACAAATAATTAATACAATTATTAATACAAAGCACACAAGAAATAAAATCGGTGTTAACAAAGTACAAAAAATATACAATACAGTAAATAAACCGAAACAAATGCAAAATGTCCAATTGACAATGTTCAATTGCGATCGCGGCACAAATGCGATGAAGTTCCAACAAATATCAAATAAATATACCAAGTGCACGTACTTGATATATGCAGCAAATCATATATAAATGGTGTATTGTTCCTTACCCCATGAAAAAGATAGCCCCAACGCTATCGCAAAATTATGTCTTCAGCGACACTTTAACTACCCAAGTTTGTGATGCACATTAGCGTCTTTCTTGGCCGATGCGGAATCAGGTACTCTTCGTCTTCACATTGTTCACATACACATGTTCATCGTTTGAGAGATACTTTTCGACTCTTTTTGTGTTTGAAATGCATCCCCTATCTTAGGTACCACACACATGTGGTGATATTTGGCAGATGGCCCGCCTTGCAATCTTTAGCCCTTAAAACGGCTGTGTCACTTACACGCAAATCTGGTTTTAAAATATACGAGGAGAATAGAAACTATTAAAAAGTCTTAAAGTATTAAAAAGTACATTTACAAATGTTTATATACAATTGCGAAACTGCAACACTAATACAAGTAAAGATAAATGGAAAACTAACATAGTGTATACCAGGACAAAGCGGAGTCAGACAGGATGATTCGTTAAGCCCACTTCCCTTTAATAATAATGGACCAAATAATACAAGCAGTAAGAAAAGGTCATAGTTACAGAATGGAGAACAAAGAAATTCAGATATTATGTTATGCAGACGACGCCGCATTAATCGCCAAGACAGAAGACAAGCTCCAAAGATTAACATACATCTTCAATACAACAGCCAAGAAATACAATATAATATCAGCAGAAAAAACCAAATGTATGATAACATCTAAATACCCACTGCGATGTAAAATTGATGGGAAAATAATAAAGCAGAAAGCAAGGTTTAGATATCTGGGAATAGATATAACTAGTTGATGAATACGGAGTAATACAGAGATGTTGAAGAAGTATATCTCTCTGTGCCACTTGCATCTTATTGATTACTTTGCTGGTAAAGGTCAATGTTTCTGCTCCATACGTTAGAACAGGGAGTACACATTGATAGGTACTGGGAGTACCTTTCTTTTTAAGCAAATATGAATATCTGACCTACAGACTTCCCATAGTTTTCTGTAATGTTAGTCCTATTCTCTTGTTTAACTCTATTGTTTGATGGTCTCTTCCTAATTTAATCCTGTAGCCCAGATACGTAGGATATATTACTTAGATATTACTCAGATAGAAGTTTTTAGCCAGTATAAGGTTGGTCATATATTGTGTTTTGAGAAAGTTAATTTTAAGGCCAACCCCGGTTCAGGAGCTCTGAAAATCATGCTAGCCAACCTAGCTCTTCAGAGCTAGGTTGGCTAGCATGGTTTTTGATGTGACGGTCTACGTTGATCACCCATGACCCGAAAGCATGTATTTGGTGTTGGCAGGTCTGTGGGAGAGCGCACGTGCGTCGTTCGTCCTTGAAGGAAGTAGTCTCTACGATTCTCGTCGGCCGGCACTAGTCGTCAGCATTTCAGTTTGTTTGCGATTTGCAGTCAGTGAGTGTTGTTGATGTTGTGTTCGATTTAGAAATGGCGGATAGCTACGAAAATAAACAAAATAAACTGAACAAATTGTGGGATGAGGTGCTTTCGGCTAGTGACGAAGACTTTTTCCCTGATATGAGTGAATATGCGCCTTTAGACTCTGACATGTCCAGTTCAGAAGAGGATCCAGAGACACCTAGACAAAAAATCAAGATTGTCCAATCTCTCTAGAAAAAATTTGACTACACTTCCAAAGAAAATTTGCCAAGTACCTCTGTAAGAATAGTGGTGTTTTCCACAGATCCACAGACATCTAACAATTCAGTTCAGGTAACAGAAGCAGGAAATAATATGAGGACAATGTTGTAGAACAACGGGAGCTGTTGATCACCATCAAGAGAAGAAATCTGGAATATCTTGGTCATGTGATGAGAGGGAAAAAGTACTGATTGCTCCAGTTAATTATCCAAGGAAAGATTCAGGGCAAACGAAGCGTGGAGAGATGACGTATATCTTGGCTGCGCAATTTAAGAGACTGGTTCCAGTGCACATCTAACCAATTATTTAAAGCAACAGCTTCAAAGATACGAATAGCAATGGTGATTGCCAAACTCCGTAGCGGAGAGGGCACTTGAAGAAAAAGAAGAATGTTATGGAGCATGTTATTCAGCAGAACATGAATTACAATGATGACACATTGACAGATTGACAGATGAACTCACTGCTAAGCCTGCTGAAGTATTTTCATGGTCTGAAGTATCCGGTACGCACATGAAGACTTTTAAATTCACAGTGGGTAATCTTGGAATACACGAGAATCTTTATGATTTTTATGAAAAAACTCCTACTACGATTTTTATAAATTAATGGTTACCAACGAAATATTTGAGTTATTTGTTAGAGGGACAAATAGATATACTGTACAAAGAAAGGAGCAAACTACAAGACTAAGTGAGAGCGCCCACCAAAGTGGCGTGGCACGTAGCAAGTGGCAAGTAGCACGCGTCTAGCATGTTTCTTAAAATGTAACCAATGAAAACGAATGATTCAGCGCACACCAAAATGACAGTGACGTCATTCATTCAAATCATTTGTTTTCATTGGTTACATTTTAAAAAACATGCTAGACGCGTGCTACTTGCTACGTGCTACTTGCCACGCCACTTTGGTGGGCGCTCGCCCTAAGAGCACGTATTCAACGATTCAACGCAGGCAACAAACAAGGTGCCAGGCAGTCATTGCTACAAAGGGTGACACTACCAATTATTAGGCTTAAGGCATAACTTTAAGTATTTTCATGTAATTACTCGGTTCTTTTTTAAGGTTCTAAATCACAGTAAATAGAATTTAACACAAATATATGTTTTCCGCAAATCGCCAGGAAATTTTGACATTCCTGTCAAAATTTCTTGAAGAAAAAGTCAGGACTTCCTTACTGTAAGGAAATGTCATTTCCTTACTGTAAGGAAATGATATTTCCGTACAGTTGTTAGTGTTCTACATAAATGATAGAAAACACATTGCTTATAAGGAATTAATTTATATTTTGAAAACATCAAGTCATTGCTGAATACATTTTTAAGATCAATTTGTTATATTTACAGTAATTTGACAGTTAGTACAATTATTGAACATTGGAGGAACACTCTTAGAACTATGAGAAACATTTTGGACAACATGCAGGGTGGAAGTGTCATTTTGTTGAATATTTTGTACTGTGAAAATTTTATTTGCCACCTCAACCTTATTGTTAAGCGATTCTTCGATATATCCTTCAGCAACGTTTGATGAATTCCATCCGCCATGCCTCTTTAAACTAGTTATGTCGGCACCAGAGTCAACCAATATTGTTGCAGAAGACCGACGAAAGCAGTGACCAGTATATTCTGTCGGATTTACCAAGTTAGAGTAGATCTGATTAATTACAAATGATCTTGGTTTGTTGGTTTTCGAATCAGGTATGCTGATTAAAAGCTTAGATTCTAAGTCTTCTATATCGTGTACAGTCATTCGGACTAACTCATCCATTCTACAGGCCCCAGAAATACCAAATATTACAGCCACCTAAAAAATAAATAAAGCTATAATCTAAATAGAAATTAAAACCTTGTAAATTACCTTAATCATTAAATTTTCTTTATCTGGAGCTTCCTGGATAAATTTTTCAATTTCTTCCTTCGTTAAAATCTTAGATTTCTTTGCCCTATAACCTTGAGCTTGCCGTTTCAATAAAGAACGAAGTTTTGAGTATGTAGATATATCTACATTGTGTTTAAGTGCAAGGGTTGACTTCAGCATTGAATAATTGGCCCATAATGTTGAAGATTTCATCTTTAAACAAAGGTCTAGGAAGTATGCCATTACAACATTTTCTGAGAAAGAACTCGTATTTTTACTCATGCGATAATCCATAAAACGTCTGTATGCATTTTCGTACTTTTCTCTTGATTTCTTTGGCAATAATTCTAATGAAGCAGTATTCACTGCCTCAACCAGCTCTGGAGGAGTCCCAGGAATGGAAATTTCATCATCACTTATCATTTTACTTTCGAGAACACCAGCAATTAAATTTATAAGCGTCAAGTTTGACAATTCAACCTCAATACGTTTCCATAGTAACCCAAGTAATTTTATTAGGAATTTCAAAGCACCATTTATTTGGGAATAAAATTATCGCGTTTTTTTTTAAATCAATCAATATCTGTCGAATTTTAAACGATTTGCGGAAAAATAGTATGTTTACCTCGTAGGAAAAGCCACATTCCTGGACTCTGTGTTGCTAAGGTCCAGGAATGTTAAGCTTTTCCTACTCGGTAAACAATGTACTATTTATAGCTTAATTACATTTCATTTTTAAACAAAAAGTAAAATTTTATGGGGTGGCTCCAATAATTTGATCACCCGCTGTATAATAAATCTTGTGGAAGTTTTGAAAACATAAATGTTAGTTTATTAGAAGGTGTATTCTTGATAAACACCCTTAAATTTATTATTTGAAGCCACGTTTTTAAAAATATTTTGGATATTTCCTAGAAAAACTTTATTTGGTAGCTTTCGTGGGTCTTCGCATTAATCAGAATGATATTTTAATACAAAAATAATATTTTTCTTTAGCTACACGCGCTGTTTTTATTTTCACGATAAAAGTCTATGAAAAATATCCGTGTATGTGCTCAAAGTAGATGAGTGTTAATGCAACATTGTTAATAGTTCATTCAAGTAAACATGTTGACGATTAAAATTCTTATTACTCTTTTGTTGTGCCAACATGTTCCAGCTAATCTAGTTATAAATAATTACAAGCAACTTATTAAACCATTAGTATCTTTAAACGATTGTTTGGTAACAATAATCAAAAGAAGTTTGAAAAAGGACTATATAACAATATCTTTACCCGAATTTGGTAATAACATAACTGACCTATTTCCTTTTATTTATCCTCAGTTTATTCAAAAAGGAAAACGAGAAGTTATGATAAAAACCAAACATCTGCAATATCATTCTTTCAAAAATTATGCAGATATAAGCGAAACAGCAATAAATTTTGTTATTTTTTTAAACAACCACGACGAAGATGATATAAACATAGACGTAAGAACTTGGAATCACGACAAGGCTAAATTTTTAATAGTCACCCAAGAGATTTTAGAACCAAATTCAATTAGGATCAGAGAAATATTTATCAATTTGTCTAAGAAAAAGATTATAAACCCACTACTGTTAGCAAGGAAATGCGAATTGTCCAGCAGTTGGGAATTGTACAAATGGAACCCGTCTACAGAAGTTTGCAACGAACTTTCAGGAGAAGTGATACATTTAAAACCATGTTTATTTGGTAACGCCACTAAAAAAATACACATTAAAAGAGGTATGGACTTAAAGTATCAAAATTGTACTATCCGGGCAGGGTATTTTGCTGCTCCGCCGTATACGGCGGCGAAGACTGTCTCAAGTAACTATGTAAACTATGGTATCGAAATGGACATACTCCACATCGTAGCCAAGAAGTTAAACTACAATGTGATTTATTATAAATGCGATATTATGGGCGAAATGATCGACGATCATTCCGGAAATGGAAACTTTGACAAATTGCTTAATTTTGAGGTAGATATTATTCTTGGAGGCTACACAAAAACGGTGGTGAGATACCGATCATTCGATTATACAATGTACTACATAGCTGATTCACTCACTTGTTGTGTTCCTTTCTATCCTGTAGTACGCATTCATTCCGTGGATATAACACGAATATTTGGAGGGGTCACAATTTTAATATCAATTATATTAGCATTTTCACTTTTTGCAGTGATACTATACATAAGTAATGTCATCTTAAGAAATAGCAGACACTTCATAAGCCCAACAAAAGTTATTGCTACAATTTTTAAAGTAACCATAACCATAGCATCTATAAACAGCATACCATTAACTTTCAGTGGACATTTTGCGATGATGTTAACTATATTTCAATCATTCTATTTAACTCAAATGTTTACTATATTTATAACGAGAAGTTTATTGTTTAAAATTTTCGATCAGAAATATTCGAGCTTTGAGGCTATTTTGGAAAATAATTTGACCACATATTACAGCAGAAACTCAATAAGATCATTTAATGACTCAGAGTCTGAAATAAGACGACAGTATTGGATAAACTGTGATGATTCTCGAATTTGCTTGCGTGAAGTGGCGTTCAACAGAACCGCCGTCCTTTACAGTTCCCAAATAGTTACGCAATATGTGGCTACAAATTTTTTTTCAGCTGATAATGATCCGTTAGTTCATTGCTATGATAATTATGTTACCATGTTGCCGACCATGTACATGCAAAAGGGTAGTATTTTATTTAAAACTGTCAATGACGTTATTTTCCGCATCACCGAAGGAGGCTTTATTTATAAGTGGTTAAAGGATATGAGCTGGTATAAGCGTGTAATGGCGAAGGAGGTTCTTGACATTAGTTTTCAAACTGCTAGAGAAACTAAAATAAGCTACCGACATTTAATACCCGTTTTCAAAATTTTACTCATTTCGTATGGTATATCCACAATTATATTTATTGGAGAAATTGCTACGAAGCACTTTAAAAGGCCTTTTCTTTTTTTCTATAGGCGTCATCATTGTAAACCAGTAACATTCTATAACTAGTAATGTTTTTTCTTTTTGCTCGTGTAAATCCTTATGCTTTTTTGATAACTTCTTCCGGAGTTATCTTCAGACTCTTGATGTATATAGTTTTCTATAATTTTGAGGTGGGACCATCGAGTAAAAAGACAAAAGAGGGAATTTAATCCTTATGAAAAGGAGACCAAAAAAGTGGCCTCTGATGGCGGACATATCCGGAAATGCGAAAGCGCCAAATTTAAAATTTCCGACACTTATTAACAGTAGCTATATAGGGTAAATGATACAGTCGTTGGCCATGATATAGTGATTGGCCATGTTAACATAAATTTATAAATATTAAGAGTTTCTGCTGTTACTGAAATAAATCAAATTTACGGGATAATTTTGGCAACGTCGCTTAATGTTCACCTACAGTTTCGTCTTGCTACAGTAACAATAGAGTGCTTAAAGGGTGTAGTCACTTCTTGTTGTCGCCAGTTTAGTTGTTCACAGGTAAAAACTAACGAATTTCTTAAGGATTGTACACCTGTTTTTGATCCATTATAAACTTAATCGTTATAGATACAGATATAATTTAGCATGAGTTATTAAACTAAGGTTGTAACTGATCCAATTTTAGGCCCGAAACATTTTTATATAACAAAAAACGCGCGAATTTACTATGCCAATAACTGTATCAATAATTTAGGTATATAAACAGTTATTGGCCAGCCGGCCAATTACTGTGTTAAATTTTTAAAATAAGTTTTCAGATATAATTTGTTTTTCATAAAAGTGGACTCTATAAGTTACATTATTCTTATTGTTGCCTTTACCTATTCTAAGAGTAAACAGTCGTTGGCCGTAGGCCAATTACTCTATTTCAACGTGGCCAATCACTATCGCAATGCTTTTTTTTTCAGTTACAATATGCCAAAGGTCTCTGCAGGTATTTCTTACCGAAAAAAATATAAAGAAGAAGATATAATTAAGGCTTTAGAGTCTATTGAAAATGGTATGAGTCAAAGAGAAGCTTCTAAGTTATATCAGATTCCTCGAGCAACACTTCAGTTCCGGTCAAGTGTCAGATTTAATAATAAAGTTTCTCTTGGACCTAACCCAGTATTAACTTCAGAAGAAGAAGCAGTTCTAGAAAGATGGATTTTGACCTCATACAAGAAAGGATTTCCGCGTAGAATGGAAGACATTCAGGCTTCTGTGAAATATTTCCTTGACGCAACCCCTAGAGAAAATCCGTTTAAAGATAACCGTCCAGGAAAAGGATGGTATCACGCCTTCCTAAAACGTCACCCAAATATAACTCTAAGAACCTCAGAAGGAATAACAGCAGCTAGCTCAGTTGTAGCCGAAGCAGACATAAGAAACTGGTTTAATAATGTGGAAGACTATTTAAAGGAAAAACAATTATTTGAGGTTCTTGAAGATCCCAGCAGAATCTACAATGGAGACGAAACCTGTTTTTGGCTTTGCCCAAAGAACAAAAAAGTTCTTGCACCAAGAGGAGCGAAAAATGTTTATGAAATACAACATCATTCAAAAAACAACATCACAGTGATGTTTACATTTTCAGCTTGTGGTGTTGTGACCCCACCGATGATTATCTATGCTTACAAAAGACTGCCAGCCGAAATTGTTAAATCTGTACCTGACACCTGGGGAATTGGGTGCAGTGATAACGGTTGGATGAAAAATCAGCTATTCTACGAATATATAGGAAACGTTCTTTATCCTTACTTAAGAAAAAATAACATCAAATTTCCAATAGTCTTGTTCGTTGATGGTCACAGTACACATTTAACCTATGAAATAAGCGAATTATGCACAAAACTACAGATAATTCTAATTGCTCTATACCCTAACTCGACTCGAATTATGCAACCTGCAGATGTGGCTGTCTTTAAGCCCTTAAAAGAAGGATGGAAAAGTGCTGTATTAACGTTTCGGAGAGAGCACCCTACTGAAGTAGTAACAAAGGACAATTTTGCTGCAGTTTTAAAAACAGTGGTTGATAATATAAAACAAGAAAATATTAGAAATGGTTTTCGTGCCTGTGGGCTTTTCCCTTGGAATGTATACGCAATTGATTATTCCAAATGCACTGGCAAGGCAAAAGAGAAAGATAAAGACACGGATGTCGGTGAAATTTCATTCGAAACATTTAAAAAAGTTGTTGGAGAAGAAAAAATGGAAAGGCTTAAAAACTTTGTTGAAAGTGATGCACATAATTCCGATTTTTTGACCTTGTTTTATCTTTATAATAATTTTTTGAAGGCAAGTCCATCCGTGAATACTGATCAAATGGAAGATATGGATAAACACGAAGATACAGATCAGCAGAGAGGAATGGACCAACTCCATAGGAGGATCCAATCTAAAATCTGTGAGCCAGAAATAAATCTTGAAATCGGAAATTTCCAGGACGACAAAAATGAGGATTTTATTAAGGATACTTCGGAAATTATCGTAAATGAGCAAATGTTTGACATTGAAAATATTCCTGTTGTAATAGAAGAAACTACTAGCTTAGACAACCAAATGCCTAGCACTTCATCGCTCGCCTCTGAACACGTCTTATTAAATAAATCATCTTCCTCAATCAGCGATTATATTATTTGGCCGAAAACTCCCGAAAGGAAAGGAAAAAGGGAGACGGAGAAACTACCCTTTGTTCTGACTTCTTCCGTTAGGAAAAATGCAATTAAGGAAAAAATAGCTATAAAAAAAGAACTGGAGGCGCAGAAAGAGAAACGTAAGACTGAAAGGTTGAACAAAAAACAACTAAAAGGAAAACAAACCAATAAAAAAAAGCACCAATCAAAAGAAAACTTAAACATAATGATACAGAAGGATCACCAAGCGACACTGACGTTAAACTTGTTTTTAAAAATAATACAGATCCAGAAACCGTAACGAGCAGAACAGGTGATAAAGAAAACAATGATCCCAATATGAAATTTTCTGTAAATGTAAACGATGGTGATGCTTTACTCAACGTAACGGAAACCTTGCCAAAAATGGACTTCCAACATAGCCCTGAAAACATCAAAAGTTATCTTACTGTTGTGCCAGAAAAAATAAAAAGAAAACTGTTTAGTGACAACAGTGAAGATGAATTAGATAATACTAAAAAAATAATTAACACGAATATGGTTATTATTAAACCATCTGCTCCTAATCCATTTAAGAACAAAACTATATACACTGGACTGTGCTATACGTGTGTTAATAATATAACACGTAGTCAATATGGAGTAAAATGTTCAAATTGTTCCAGAACATACCATATAAAATGTATTTCCAAAAATAAGATGAAATCCGCCGAAATGGAGAACTTTTGGTGCAACGTTTGTTTTGATAAGATAACATTGTAATTGGTTTGTAATTTCTTCCATTTATTAAAAATTTTTGAAACCAAATTATTCTTTGATCACTAAAATTATATATATAATTTTTTATAGTTCTTTAACCAAAATTAAAATTACGCAGGTAGGGTACATAAATAAGAAAAATGTGTAGGGTACCTCAGCTTCTTAGTGGTGGCCAATTACTATCTACTTTACTATGCCAATTACTATACGAATTAGGCCAATCACTGTAAAATATGCTTCTGCAAGAATAAAACTTTTTTTTATAAATATTAAACATTTTTAATCAATAAATGACTTACTGAGTCATAAAGAGGACACTTTAGTCTAACATTTAGTGTATTATTTAAATATATGGTTTTCAATAAAAATTAATGTCTTACACATTTATCAAACTCTAATGCTTAAGTGGCCAATCACTGTAGCCTTTACCCTAATATTTTTCAGAATGTGTCTTAGACGAGAAAGTTTTAATCAATTATTAACGGTAATAGTCTAAAATGCGACACAATTGTTAAAAAACTTCAATATAAATAAGATTTCATGTGATATTTGAAACAAACAATAACATAACCCAACTAAATTTGATGTCAAACAAGGAGGGAGACTCTCTTTCCTTGTTTAATGTGACCTCTAAAGATCTCACTACCTGTCTAACAATATTTTTGTCTCCACTACCATTACATTCCCTCTTTTGTCTTTTGCTCGATGGGTGGGACACGTCTTAATCGTTGAAATGTTTTTCGATGTATTCTTCATATTTTTCCATCTCGTTAGTTTTTCCTGGCAATTATTTTGTTATTATTAAAATCTGTCAACTTTCTCGTGAATGTCGTGTTGTCAATATCCTTGCACCTTCTTGTATAGAGTGTTGCTGTACAATTCAGTGATCTTATTATTTTGTGTATGTTGGCAACACGTTTTCTTTTTATTGATGTCTGATGTCTTACTTGTCACTTGTCACCAGTCTCTGTACACTTTACAGTTATATTGCAAAACAATAAGACTTATTCCTTTTCAAATTAAGTATAATAATATTATTATTATTTACCTGCGTAAACAGATTATGCGCTTAGCTGGAGAAATTTAGAAAAGTGTGTTTAAATTTGTGTTTTAAACAAAGTATTATTTGTACTGCTTAAAGTGTAGTTTGCAGGAAAAATTGTTTTCACAATTTTTGTACGTATGTCATATAGTTATGGCTTCTTCCAGCGATCAATTTTTTATGGTTAATGTAAAATAATTTAATGAAGCCGGTTCTGATGTGTGGAAATTTCGATTAAAAAGAATATTGGAACGATATGGTGTTTTGGATGTCATTTCTCAAGAGAAACCTGCTAGAACTGACGATAAAACAAAGACTTTTTTAAAATTAATCGACTGTAAAGGATATTATTGTAGGAGTTGATCAAATTTGCAGTGAGCTCTACAAGAATGGTGGCGATGCCCTACTACAGACACTGCATAAGCTTTTACTTCTTGTTTGGCATAATGAGACCATGCCTTGTGAATGGTCTCAAGGCGTGATATGCCCGTTACATAAAAAAGGTGACCAGCTCCAGTGTGACAACTATAGAGGTATAACCCTGTTAACAACTGCTTACAAAATACTAGCAAATATTCTCTACGAAAGGCTGCAAGTTTACACAGTGGGCA